GGCCCCGTGGGGCCTCCAGGGAGGAGGCCTAGGAGACGGAGGCACAGAAGCTTGAGAACGTCTTTCTCTTCCAGATGAAGTAGGAGGGGCAAAGAGCTTCTTCTCCCATTCCCCACCCTCCTCTTCCCTCAAGAAGCTCACAAGCCCACCCCATTTTCTTGCCCGGTCCACCCTGGGAAAACAGCTTCTCGTCTGTCTCAGATTGTGGGCTTGAATTTTCCAAATGGAGGTAGGCCTGGGTAGGCTCCGACATGCAGGAGAACTGCCTTTGGGAGTCCCATCTGCACCCTTGCCTCTTAGAGGGCTTTGCAAAGAGGTGGAGGCTGAGTCTTCAAGTCAGATAATGAGCCAGCTGGTTAGCTAGACCAAAGTGTGGTCCCCTTGAGATCAAAGCTACTGTTTTGTACTCTCAAGCAAAACCATTCTTACTTCCAGCACATATGTATTTAAATACCTGCTGCATGTTCAGTACCTAAGGCCAGTGGTTATATCTCCTGTATCTACAAGCTAGGTAGTGCCACAAAGTGGACACACGTAATTTACCATTCAAGACGGTATCTAAAAAATTTCTAAGCTAGGCAGATTTTACCGACAGAAAAAGAAGAGGGCCATCAGTGAGAGCTGTAGTCGGTCAGAGAAGGTCACAGAGGAGGAGAGACTTAAGCAGATCCTTGATGTCAGAGTAAATTTGGATATTCGGGGTGATGGCCAGAAAAAGTGTCTTGTGACAGTTATATTTTCCTATTTTCACAACTCCCCACCTAATGTAGATGGGTTTGTGTGTGTTTGGGATAGATTGGGCAAAGGGGATCTTTACTAAAAATTCTCTGCTTTAATTACTCCTTCCCCTCTTTTCCTTTAGTGAATGAATCAGGAGAGGGTAAGCAACATTTTCTATCCTCATCTCCTGGAACTCAGCTAGAAGTAGCTCCCTCGCAGACTATGGTCTTTGTACATCTGCTATAGAGTGCTCATCATTGACACCAGAGGCTTAGTTTTAAATTATTTTCTACAGAAAAAACACCCCAGCTATATAGGCTGGACCCCCCCCCCAACCTGGTCTCACAGATGCCATTAGTATTGTGAATAGGGGCAGGTAATCTGGATCATTCAACACAAATTCCAAACTCAGACTGTTAAAACAACAAAAGAACTCCCTAAAGATGTTTGCATAAGTGATAGCATTATCTTTGCATATGGCAGACAGCACATTTTTTTTTTTTTTGCAAGATGCATAGTTTGTTGTGTAAACACCAAAATGAAGTATAAAATGTATGGTGCAGAGAATGTTAACTGTAAAAGACAAGGCATTTAAAACTAACTATTTTGTATTCACCTTTTGGGAGAGGCACAGTACTGCAGCACACATTACATAAGTGACACACACTCATTTAAATATACATCTATTAAAACCAGGAGTCCTTCGTTCTATTAACAATATGCAGACTTATAAATCTTGGTTAGGACATAGTTATAAAAACAATTCTTTTCTTTTAAATTGTTAGTCATTTTTACCCAATATAGTACTTGATACTTTTTCCAAGTTGGGGTTTTATGATTATTAGTTGCATCTTAAATATCTTACCTGAGCTGGATTGCTGCCATCCAAGGCAATGATTGCGTTAGATGCCTTGAAAATTCGATTATTAAAAACTTTTCTTCAAAGGTAATAAAAAATAAAACTCATTTATAAAAGTCATCAAGATGCATTGCCTGCTAAAATACTTTTTTAGATGCAAAATATTTTTTTTTATTTTGTATGTAGTACAACTAAAAAAGTTAAATAACGACAAAACACGCGTGTGGCCTAGTTTTGTTTGGGGAAAAAAAAGAATGCTTGTTCTTAGGGTTGCTGTTGATTTGGCCTGCAGTTACTAGAGAAACTCCAAGGATCTCATTCCCTTCATGGTTCATGTCTAGGCATGCCTGGAGACCAGGGAGACCTATGATTTAATCTAAGTAAGAATGCTTGTGCTGTATTAAATGCCCAAACAGAAGATTGCATTTGTTTTAGACAGCATCAGGAAGATATCGTTCAGGGGAATAGTTTACCGTTTCTGATTTCTGGCCTTTTGGTCAGTAGGGAGATAGAGAAGGAGTTCTAAGGAGAGAAGGTGAGGTTGGTGAAGAAATCAAGGAGAGTATAGAAAACAAATACTTTCTTCTTTAGTTCTGGCAAATTTATATTGGCTTAATTTACCACTCCTAGATACAAGACTAGACTGATGGGAGTTGAGAGTTACAAAAGGTGGAGACAGCATTTGCCCACCCTTCCATACACACAAACACACCATCTGAACATTTCCTGTCTTCCCCAGTCTTTGAATGACGTTGTTAGAGGAGGAAGAAGTGAAGAATCAGACTGATTAAAAATTACTGGACTTGAGCAGTCTCTTTTTAAACCTGTTTTAAAATGCATATTTTCTCTTAGGAAATATAAAGCTATATTTTGGTTTATAGATCAATAAATGTCAGATAACCTTATTAACATTTATGATAGTATACTTAAGAACTAGTTTATACATTGAAGGAAGACTAAGTTGAAGTGCATTAGTGCCTTTGAATAACTAAAAATCAACGGCTTCATTTATGAAAGGAGATTTCCTTTTGAGCTAAAATGAACTGCCAGCAGTTTTTGTCTTTTTTCTTTTCTTTTTTTTTAAAGTGAGAAGGCAGGATTTATCGAGAGGACAGAAAAACTCTCACAGTGGGAAGGGACCCGAGGGGGTTGCCCAGCAGTTTTCATAGTTCCATATTTCTGGTTGCATTTCATTGTACTTTCATT